CGCTTGGGTTGCCTGGTTGGCATAACGATGGTAACCGCCTGAGGTGAAAAAAATAGATGTTTTTATTCGCTGCTCGCAGTTTCCTTGAAAGAGGAAAGGTGTGGGCTTGCGGGCTGCGTGTGCCCCGAAGGAAAATCAAAGGTTGTGCCCCTCATTTTTTCCTTCTTCCCGGAAAAAAAATCGCTGGAGCTGCCTGGCTGCCCCTCACCTCCCCCGCGGCTGTGGGTTGTGTGTGTGTGTGTGTGTTGAGGTTTGTCCCGCTCATGGCAGAGCACAGGCTGTGAGTTTTGAACCAGGATAATGTTATTGTTAAGCTGCCTACAAGAGGATTAGTCTCCTTCTTTCTCTCTCTCCCCCCCCGCATCCCCTTCTTAAAATAACTGCAGGTAGGGAGCAGAAAATCTGATCTGTGCCCTGTCTGACCGAGTCCTTTAGCTGTGTCACTGGGGCATCTGGAAGGCGATTACTCAGGGGAGCTTTTGATGTTGTCTGTTTATGTCTTCATAGACTTTTCTAAAAATAAATTCTCTTGCAGCAGACTTGCATCAGAATCTTTTTTTCCTTATGCACTTTGGAAAGAGAAATCCTCAGGTCTGTGACTTTGAAAACCTTTCTTAATGCTCGTTACAGAAGGCTTTTAACAAATTTTAAAAAGCTGGTTTGTTTATTTGTTTGTTTGTTTTCTTTGTATAACTAGCAGTGGCTGTCACAACTAATTTGTAAACTGACAAGAAATTGACAAGAAATTTACTAAGGTTGTTTTCTAAACTACATAACCAGAAACCCCAGACACCTGAAATCAACATCTATTCAGCTCACACTAGAGCAATGTGAAGCTAAGAGATGGAATACACTTAATAAAAAGTTGTTGCTAACAAAGGAAAAGTTGTTTGCATAAACAGTTGCGTATGTATGTTAGTATACACTTTAATAATGTTTTGTTTCCCTTTCAGTAAAGAATGTCGTTGTTTAAAGCTAGAGACTGGTGGTCCACCATACTTGGAGAAAAGGAAGAATTTGACCAAGGCTGTCTCTGTGTTGCTGATGTTGATAATAGTGGCAGTGGACAAGGTAAATTCAAAATTACATTTGCTGACTTTTAAGCTACACAGCTGCAAGTTTGCTTTGACCAATGCATATGGAAAGCTTGTTAGCCAGGCTAGTTGGCTAGTTAGTTTAAAGTCTGCTATCTTTAATGTGTCCTTGTAGGCTTAAGAAGACAAATTCAATGCCATTTGTCTTTGTTGTATTTGTAGGTTTCTAAACATCTTAATTCTTGTTTGTGTTCAATAGTAGTTTCTCTCATGTCTTCTTCCCTTAATGGTAACTTTAAAACAGAACATTTTCAGTTAGTCATGGGAGCAAACACACGTTGTAAGTAATTGAAAAAACTTAAGGAAAAAAAAAGGAAGGTGAGAGCTAATAAGTTAAGAATTTAGAAAAACAACCAACCTTTTCTGCCTGGAAAATAAGAGGCCATTGAAATAAGTGGCTTTGCTTGAATAAACCCTGCTTTTCTATGTAGTTATTTATAATGTGGATCTAAAGTGATGTGTCTGAGGACATATTTACAGCAGTTCATGATCTTTGCTGTCAAGGAGAGTTCTTGTGTATGTGTGTTTTTAAAATTAATAAATATTTGGTATCTTTCTCTAAGATACACTCATGTTCATCTTGGAGCTTTGTTTTTGCTCAGCAGAGGTATTGAGTTTGATTTCATCATTTTAATAATCTTTAAAAAATTATTTTTATTTTAGATTGTCCCTTTTCAGGAGGTTTTGAACAGAGTTGAGCTGTTATTGGTTTCGTGTAGCACCTTTTTCAGTAGAAATTCATAGAATCATTTAGGTTGGAAAAGACCTTTAAGACCATCGAGTCCAACCATAAACCTAACACTGTTAAGTCCACCACTAGGCCATGTCCCTAAGCACCTACATGTCTTTTAAATACTTCCAGGGATGGTAGCTCAACCACTTCAAAATGTCAAAATGTCCTCAGTTAAGTGTTATTAAGGAATTAATAACTAAAATGGATTTAGTTTACTACTGATGGAATACTTGTTACTGAACTGAGGAAAAGATGTGCGTGGGGAAGGCAGCCAGTGCTCTCTGAATGAGGGACTTGGGGGTGCAAGTTTTTGTGGCTGAAGAGAGGAAGGATGCAGCTGTTCTAAGCTTTTGACCTGGGGTCCTGCAGAACTGTGCTGAGCCTTTAGGTGAACTTGGTTTAGGAGTATTTGTATGTTCTCCTGACTTGTGGACAAGTTTTATTGATTTTGATTTTGATCTGCATTGATATTGATGACTTCTATCTAGAGGGAGTAAGTACTGGCAATCAACTTGGGTTGTTGTCATGGGAGGCACCTCTTTGGGGTTTTTTTCATTAAAAATTGTTGGTTATTCACTAACAACCAAATGGCTACTTGCTTAAAATACCGATTCCAAAATAACTCTAATGTGACTATTGCCTTGCTGTTTGAGATCATGGATCTGTCTCAGGAGCAGATGATCTCCAGGCCTAGCTTTCTTGACCTGATGTAGTAATTATCTGACTTTAGCTTGTATTTGGATAAATGTCATTGGTCCCAATTTTAACATTTCACACTTGTGTTGGTATGATACGTATATGTGTAAGTCCAAGATGTAGGAGCCGAAAGTTTGAAGTACTCTTCAAAACCAGAATGGGACTTTTTAAAGAAATGTGACATCAGTCTAGAATGATGGAATAGTAACAATGGTCAGTGCCATCACCATAATTGCCATGTTGAACCCTTTGCTGACAGGTTTCCAAGGATTTGCAAAGAAGATAATTGCTGCTCTTAACCTGGAAGAGCATGATCAGCATTAATTGAATCATGTAAATGTTCTGTCTCTTTAGAGTATTCTTCGAAGCACTTCTGCAGCAAATAGAATTCTACGTGTGCTATTGTATTCTGGGCTCTCCTTTATTTTTTGTTTTGTTTCTTTCCTTGTTTTTGTAGATAAAATTATCGTGGGCAGTTACATGGGGTATCTCCGAATCTTTAATCCACATCCTGTGAAACCTGGAGATGAAATACAGCCTGAAGACTTGCTCTTGGAAGTGCAGTTACGAGAACCAATATTGCAGGTGGAAGTGGGAAAATTTGTTTCGTAAGTCAATAGCAGGCTGTGCTGCTGTTTGTTTAAGGCTTAGATGTGACTTTCTTTCTTTGTTTTGTGGGGTGAGTTTTCAGTTTCCAGATGGACAGTTAAGCACATCTGGCCATGTGTAGTATGCATTTGATTTGCTTCTTGAATTATCTTGATAGAAGAGAATTTTTGCTTAGTGTATATGTGGAGGATAATCTTTCAGGTACTTATATGACTTTTTTAAAGTATGTAGAATAGGAAAAACCTTCTATTGAAAATTTTAGGTGTTAAGAAAACTTGAGTAACTTGTTATGATCTAAGAAGTGATATTGGCCAGTTGTTTTGAATTTGATGGAGGATTGAAGATCTTTAATTCTAATGAATTTAGTGGAAATAAGTGGCCAGTTAGAGGAAAGATACTGCGACTGTAAGGAAAAGGCCTTGTCTTTAATTTGCTGTAAGAGAATCTGCTTAGGAGAACTTTGTTTTAAAAATGAGAGAAGAAAAAAAAAAAAGGATATGAGGATCATCATCACTCCAAACAAGTGTTATTCAGCAACTACATACATTACTTTTTGAAAATTCACTTTTGTACCAGCTGCATGGAACCTAAGTTAATTAAACTACAAGGCAGAAGTCATAAACTTAGAATCCTATATTCAGATTCTTCTTCCTACAAACTTAAGTAGTATTTTCTGTAGAGAGGGTTCTTGTGCTGTAACTATAGAAAATGTTTTAGATCATTTCACAAGTCAAGGTATTAGAATTCCTGCCACAGGGTCACTCCATGAGTGCTTGACTAAAAGAAGAACAGATTCCAGTTGATGTAGACCTTTCAGCTTGTGGCCTTTGGTGCCAGAGCACAAGTCTTTCCTGTGGTTAGTACAGGTTTTTCTCTCATTTTAAAAATAAAGTTCACCTAAGTAGATTCTCTTACAGCCAATTAAATGTCTGTTCTTAAAGGATTCATTTTAATTTTGAAATGGTACAAAAGTGAATTAAAAAAGCGCTATTGTATGTGGTGGCTGAATAACATTTGTTTGGAGTGATGATGATCCTCATATCCATTTGGTTTTTGGAAGAATCAACAGCACCTTGTTTGAAATGATTTTTCAAGCTAAAGTGGGGAAATAGTTGACTTGCTCTTCATACTTAAATATAGAAATATATTCTTAAAGGATTCATTTTAATTCTGAAATTAGTGTAGTAAGATTAGCACTTCTGGGTTTTTATGCTAGCATCTAACACCCAAACTTTTGGATCTGGCCCATACTTGGAAGTAATTTCAACATGTTATTTGAATGTTATCCTGTTTGCATTTTACCTGGAATTTATCTGAAAACAGTGATTTATTTATTTATTTGTTTTTTTAACTGTCTTTCCAGTGGTACTGAAGGACTTCACCTGGCTGTGTTGCATTACCGAAAACTCTGTGTATATGCTGTTTCAGGTTAGTTTACAGATACAGGCTTTCCAGCAATTTAAAGTGTATGCTAAAGTATGGATCAGGTTAAGTACTAACCTTGGTATATACAGCGTTTGCTCATCATCCCTGAAGAGCTGCAGCCATGTTCTGCCAATCAAACTCATGTATGAAGAAGAAACATTACTAATTGGGTCTAGATATTTCCCAGTGGTTAACAGAGATTTGCTGATCTCCTTAGTACCTGAGATGCTGTGAAGTGCATAGTGGTCTGTGGTTGGTAGTGCTTGTGAACAAGTAGTTCTCATTACAATTTTAGGAACATTGTTCAGCATGCTAATAAACAAATGGTTGTTTATTGACAAATTACTTAGCTCTTTAAAAATGAAACAATTATAATTATTTCAAAAGTCCAGATAACTGCTTAGTCAGAACATTGGTAATGTAGCCCAAGAGAAAATAAGAGTTTAATACTGGTAAGAAGGTGAAACTATGATGCTTTTTTCTTAAATCCTCTTTCTGCTGCTGCCTTTGCCTGGAAATTCTAAGTGCTGTGTTCTCTCTGTGTGTAAAGAGGCAAGTCACAAAATACTTATTCTGTGTATTGAATCCTCTCTAGTATAAGCTTAAAGCAAAGCACAGATTTGAGAGACCTATTGGTTGTACCCCCATCTTAAAAATTCAGTAGACAGCTGTACATTGTTCATTTTCTCTGTGCAGGTACAGCTGTGGCTCCTTGCATTATAAGAACATGGTTCTCTTGTAGGAGCAGCTTGTTTCCCTTTCAGAGCCTTGTAGGCAGGCAGGTTACAAACAGATGCTCTCTTTCCAGATTCTGTTTGCCTTCTAGTTACCTTTTCTGGAGACACCTGTAAAATGGATCTTTGTTGAGTACATCTGCTTTCAGATGTACTACAGTTTTCATACTTTCCCTTCTCTGTAATGGTGCTGGTGTCTTAGGATTGTATCCTACCAGTACAATTTTTGTTAAAACAACTTATTTTAAAATTTGCATTTATGGCATACAACCATAAGTCAGTCTAGGATTTTTTTCTAGTTACAATTTTCAGTTTGGTCTACATGTCTTAAGCATTTAAGTAGTAATAAAAGTAAAGTTTTACAGTGCTTTAATAGACTTTTCATATTAATTTGCAAGCATTCATGCTGTAATGGTAATTTCTGTCATCTGAACAGGTACATTCAAACAATCTCCTTTAAGAAATAATGATCATAATTTCTTTATGCTTCCATGGCAAATTAAACTCTCATAAACTGGGTTTTTACTTTCTTACCTGTTATTCATAATAAAATAACTATGCCACTTCTCCTTGACAAATGAAAGCATCCTTCAGGGCTGACTGAAGTATGGCCTGGATATTGTATTACAGTCAGTATACACACTTTCTAACTTACTTTTCCTCTGGTGTTGCTACTCAGCTAGTTACTTACATGGCCAGGGCTTTTCCTTATGGCTGTTCCAATCCGTTCCATAACGTGGGCCTACTTTAGGGGTACTTACATAAAAGCTGTATTGGATTTTAGTTGGAGAAATTGTCTGGAAGGTTAGCATAAGCTACAAATCTTTGATAGCACCTTGTTTAAGATGGTGTTGGAACAATCTTTATATACTTAGAGTTGTGGTAGAATTTAGCTTAGATCTCATTCACTCAAAACACAATTTTCCCTACTGATGTGACTGTTCTCTAAGGGGTTTTGTTTTGTTTTGTTTTTTGCTTGCTAATATTAATCCTTTAAGTTGCTCTAGATGGTGAACTTTTTCTTCATGGCAGGTAGGAAAGACTTTTGACTATCAAAAGAGAGGCTTTAACTTCAGTTTTCTTTAGAAAGACTTTGAATTTCTGTTAGTTCCCTGAAGGAGTCAAGAAATTAAAAGTTCATGCAGACCTTTTCAGAGAGTGTGATGTATACCATAAACTTCTTTTTGTTACCATATGTTATCTCTTATCTTTGCATTGAATTTCAGACAGAGTAAAGACAAGTGATAAATGTGCCCTAAGCATAGCTCTGTCAAATTATAGCTAATGACTAATCACTATAGCTTAATTTGAGACAGACTATGACATCTGAGGCTGGCTGTCACAGAGGATCATAAGAATTCTTCTTTGAGCAGGCTTTTTTCTCATCTTAGAGGTGTGCCTAACATGAAGAAAAATACATTTAAGTGATAAAATTTCAGCCTCTTGCTAAATCTTTATACCATATTTAGTATAATGAGAAGTTATTTCTGCTTCTAGCCTTTAGGAATTTTGTAGCTTGGTGATTTTTTTTCAGGAAAGTAGCAGTGTGAGAATTCATATCACAAAATCACTAAGTTAGTTTTTCAGGTTGTTTAAACTGGTACTCCTTTACTACTTCCACATTCCATGGATCAAAGATATAAATACATTGCCTTCATTTTTTGTAGGAACTCTGGGAAATGTGGACCATGGGAACCAGTATCAGATTAAACTGATGTATGAGCACAATCTTCAGAGAACTGCTTGTAATATGACTTATGGTCCGTTTGGTGGTGTAAAAGGTAAGCTCCTTGTTGCTTGTTCTTTATTAGTAGTTGTTTAACTGTAAGCAGTTGAGTTTTAAGTTAAATTTTGAAAGGCATCATGATGCTGCTGTCTAGGGGAAACCATCTTTCTATAAATGATGGTACCTTTTATCTGATGCATGTAGAAAATAACAAGTTAAAATGAGGCAAAGAATATTGCATGTAGAATAGTTGTTTCCTCACATCTTGAACAGGATATGAATTTACAAGGATAATAATGATTTTAAAAAACATTACAAAAACCCTGACTCTTCCTTTGTAAAATACTTTAACATCTGAAATAATTGTTTCCTTCTATGCTTTAAATCTGTTTTGCTTTTTGGCAAATTGCTTATCCCAGACAAAGAAAAAAGTTAACATCTTCATTCTCTGAACTTGAAATATCGAGTGTCTTTAAAGATATGTAAGGCAAGCTTTTTAAAAAAATATATTTAAAAATTGATTGGAAAATCATAAGAGTGGAAAATAGTATTTATGATGTGTTTGTAGTTTTGAATGAGTTTAATGGATATCAGTCTTTTTCTGAACTTGTGGGTGGTAGTCTTCTACACAGGTAGTGTCCCTAAACTGTTGGCAGAGCAGTACCACTTTATTAAGGCAAGAAGCCTTCTGAGTCAATATGGTAAATAAATGCAGACAATCCCTCAGCTCTGTGTCTGTAATAATTTCTGTATTGGGTTTGTGTGGCAAGGTTTTGGTAGTGGCAGGGCTACAGGGGTGGCTTCTGTGAGAAGCTGCCAGAAGCTTCCCCTGTGTCTGACAGAGCCAATTCCAGTTGGCTCCAAGACAGACCCGCTGCTGGCCAAAGCTCAGCCAGTCATTGATGGTGATATTGCCTCTGTGATAACATATTTAAGAAGGGGAAGGAAAAAATCACCTGCACAGTTGCAGCTGGAGAAACAACTCTATAGACACCAACGTCAGTGAAGAAGAAGGAAGAGGAGGTGCTCCATGTGCCAGAGCAGATTCCCCTGCAGCCTGTTAAGACCATGGTGAGGCAGGCTGTCCCCCTGCAGCCCATGGAGGTCCATAGTGGAGCAGCTGATCACCTGCAGCCCATGGAGGACCCCATGCTGGAGCAGGTGGATGCCTGAAGGAGGCTGTGACCCCGTGGGAAGCCCATGCTGGAGCAGGCTCCTGGTAAAACCTGTGACCCCTGTGGAGAGATGGGCCCACTCTGGAGCAGGTTTGTTGGCAGGACTTGTGACCTCATGGGGGACTCACTGGAGCAGTCTGTTCCTGAAGGACTGCACCCCATGGAAAGGACCCACGCTGGAGTGGTTTGTGAAGAACTGCGGCCTGGGGGAAGCATTCACATTGGAGAAGTTTGTGAAGGACTGTCTCCCATGGGAAGGACTCCACACTGGAACAGGGGAAGAATGTGTGGAGTCCTCCCCCTGAGGAGGGAGGAGCGGCAGAAATAACGTGTGATGAACTGACCACGATCCCCATTCCTCATCCCCACGTGCTGCTGGTGGGGAGGAGGTAGAGAAATTGGAAGAAAAGTTAAGCCTGGGAAGAAGGTGTGGGGGGAAGATGTTTGAAGATTTGGTTTTGTTTCTCCTTTCCTACTCTGATTTAATTGGTAATAAACTAAACTAATTTCCCCAAGCTGTTTTGCCTGTGGCAGTAATTGGTCTGTTCTTATCTCAACCCACAAGCCAAGTTGTTATATTTTCTTCCCCCCTGTCCCCCTGTTGAGGAGGGGGAGTGATTAAGAGCGGCTTTGGTGGGTACCTGGTGTCCAGCCAGGATCAACCCACCATAGTCTTCTACAGTAATCATTCTACAATGCCTTACCCTAAACTCAAGCTTGTCCCTGGGCTTCAATTCAGCTGACCAAAATTCATACTGATTGAAGAGATTTTCACCTACTAATTTAGCACAACTTGGGAGAAATGGTCAGCTTGTGTGGGTGAGAAGGTATCTGTGCTGTGAGTGTCTTGAGGGGTGAGTGTATGGGGCAGAGGCGGGTTCCTGTTAACAGCAGAAAGACAATATGGCATTTCCCAAGTCTGAGAAGAGGGAATGGTGTGCTTCCTGACGTGCTGTAGTGGAATTGCATTAACAGGAGTACTGAGGGGATCATGAGGTGAGAGTTGTGAGTGTCTGGAATGGTTCAGGGATAAAACAAATACCCAGGTACTGCCATGCAGTTCTGCAGAAAAAAACTCTGTTTATTTGACATGTGTGTGTGTTTGCCATGGAGATCTGAGTAGAGATCTGACCACCAGCTCAATCTTGATGCCAGACTTTTCTTTTACGTACCTTATCATGGGCAGTGGGGGGTGTGAGTGATGTAATGAAGAAAATGTCTTTGCAAACTATAGGGAGGCAGAAGGAGTGTTTACCTCAGAACGTACTCGGCCAGCCAAACACTTTTCAACATGTAGGATGGTCAAAATGAGGGCCAGTCCTGACAAACCAGCAAGAACAGAGGGAACTCTGGTTAAGTTCTGCAAACTTCTCTTGTTTTCTAGTAGCACTTCTGCCCCAGCATGTTGAGCTCTTTTCCTTTTCCTTTCTTCTTCCCTATGTTCCAGTTCACATTAGTGTGTTTATTGCTGTGGAAAAAAAATAAATAACATCAAGTCTTGTTTTCAGGTGGCAAAAATTTTAATAAATGAGGGCAGAGATTTGTGTTATGTGATAAATAATACACGTTCATAGAATCATAGAATGGTTTGGATTGGAAGGGACCTAAAAGATCATCCAGTTCCACCCCCCCTGATCTTTGAGGTCCCTTCCAATCCAAACCATTCTATGATTCTATTAACCCTATACCTTCAGTGGTAAAGAAACTCATTCTACCTAACCATACTAGTTAGCACTGGCAAAAGAAAAATAGGGTTCAATATGTGTGCACTACTTTGTACTTGGTGTCTTCTAGCATATTCTTGAGTTATCTAGGGATGAACAGTTATTTAGGTTCTAGTTAATGCTCTGTTTTTGTTTGTTTGTTTTTTTTTTTGTTGTTGTTGGACTGCTTCCAAACAGTTGCCTGTCAGTTTAATGGATACAGCTGAAAATTTTCAGTTTGCTGCTGCTTGCTCATACCTCAGATAAAATACTTGCCTCTTGACATTCAGATTTCTCCTGTAATCATTCATAATGTGATTTCTACCCATGTACAGTGTGGTCTGTGCTGTCTAGTGGGCCACTACAGCTGTGACCTTAACTGAGATGCTGAATGCTCTGTCAGTCTCTCGATGCTGTAAGGTTGCATAGTCAATTTTGAAAACTGGGATGTAAAGCCAGCACGTAGTTTTCATTTCCCATCCTACATCTCTTTTGGCCTTTGGGTGGCCTCTGCTCATTCCTTTGTGAAAAAAATTAAATTTCCTTTGAAAAAGGAAGGCTGAACAATGAAGAAGGTGGCTGAGGTTTCCCTGTTCCTGACTGCTGCCCCCTGCTTTATAGAGAACTCTGTGGTGAAAGAGCTCAGCCATGCTCTCTTGTCCTCAAGAACCTTCCACAGGGTGGGATGGGATGAGTAGGGTTCCAAGGGATGTGTAAAACAGGCTGGAATGGAAGTCTGAGGCAGGATGGCTGCTGCTAAAATTGGGGAATACTTCCATATGCAGGCAGCAAGGTATGTGTGAAAGTACAGAAGGGAACTCTGTTTCAATCCAGCAGTTCCTTAACTCCCTGAGTTGCTGAAAATCCTGCAATTCCCTTTAAATCCTTACAGGGGCTGAAGAGGCAGAGAGGTGTTCAGACCAAACTTGCAGTTTTCATAATACTGAAGTTTGATTTAGGAATTATTGGAGTAGAATCTGTTTCTCTAATTTACAGAGGAGCTTAATGTCTTTAGGATGCCTGTCTTTAAGGAGAAACTGCCTGAAATTTTTCTCTTCGGTACTGTTTGACCTGGAGTACTATCAAAGCTTTTCAGAAATTAAGCAGAATGTTAGAAGCAAATACTCTACTACTGTTTTATGTTTTGGTTTGGTTATGAAGCTCCACTAAGCTTCCTTCGGCTGTTTGTAGTTAAATGTGTGCTTACAGAAAGCTCTCCCTGTGCCTACTCTCTGCAGCTTCATTAGGGAGGAGGATTTCTCACAGCTTCTGTTACTGTGGTAGCTGGAGAAGAATGTCTCTGCAGTTGTTTAGCACGCTCGAAATACATAAACAAACACCAGTAGATGTGTATCACATTCTCAGCCAGCTTCCTCCAACATAAGTTTTTGTTCTCCTTTCCTTGCTAATTTGTGGCAATCTAGACCCTTGTTATGTTATAATTTGGTCTGTTAAACTTCAAATCTGTTTAGCTGAAATGTGATGAAGATGTAAAACATACCAAGTACAACTGTCATTTCTCAACTGGTGATTTTTGATCTCTTGTGTTAAGAAAAAGAGGTATTATAGATTTCTCTGAGAAGATAATTGTGAGGTGAACAAACCTATTTTGTAGCCTAGTTTCTAGCAGCTTCACTCTTGCTAGTGTCTTCAGTTTAATGATTTAATGCCATGAGCAACTTTCACATGTGGAAGAATTGACATAGGTGTTCTCATGTAGGAACAGATCAAGACAATCAACAAACCCATTTATTTTGGTTTTTCATAGAAGGTCGAAATCTAAATTAAAGAAACGAATAAAGCTCTGGAATGAAAAAGCCAAAGACTGAGAAGTTGTCCAGTGGCTTGCAGAGATGAACAGTGTGCATTTGTCTTTCAAGTTGCAGCGTGTGAATTGTGGTTGTCACCACTAGATGGTCCTCTCATTACAGGTATTGGTTAGCAGGCTGCATCTCTAAAGCTGCATTTCTACTTGAACTGATTCTACAGGTGTATTTGCTGCAACACCCAGTGAAGTATAGAAAACATAAAAGCACTTTCTGAAAACCTCTATAGCTAAAATTATTTTATTGATTATAACAAAATATATTCTGTTGGTTGCACACTTCAGCACAAAAGCAAAATGAACTTGACTTGTACTTGCAGCAAAACTGCTAATGGGCCAGGGATGTGGGAAA